GCATCAGGCCCCGGAAACAGATCTGCAGGGATGGGACACAGTCATAAACAGTCGGAAAGAACTTGTTGCCTTACTCCCATACTGGGGTTCTTGCAGGCATGTCTCCTGGGAAACCAATGGGAAGGAATCAACACATACACCCCCAGCGGTTTCACGCCTCACCCGATCCGTGCTTGTTGGCAAGCAGGAGGAAAAGCTTCTGGAACTGCGGCTTGTCGTTTTGCGCGTCTCGTTTCCTGTATACACACCTAGTACTCGTTGATATGTCCTCGGCTACCACTAGTACTATAGCTGCTAGTACTTATACTACTGCTGCGGCTGCTTCTGCTGTCGCTGCTGCCAGTGCTGTTGTTATTTGTACTAGTTATCCTATTGCTACTGCAACTATTCGTAGTACTCCTGCTACTGCTGCTACTGCTGATACTACTGCGCCTCTTGCCGCTTCTCCTCGGGGTCTCTTACATTCGGACAGCGCCTGAGACATCAGCGCTTTGCTGCGGTCTGATAGCAAGCATTTTATCTTCTGCTTCTAGCTGAATTGCAGTGGGTGACTGCTTGGAGCCAACATTGATGCTGTTTTGCAAGTCTTGTCCTCGCAGCCTTCTCGGCAGGGGCTTCAATTTCTCGACACCCTCTCAAGAACTTCTATAGCACCCAGCCATGCCACGGTCGTGCGCCAATCGAGATTGCTGCTTCTCTGCAGCGGGCGGTCGACTGCAGGTTGCGGCGGGTATGAATCTGTGCCCTTTCTGTGACCCAGAAGCCATGCGGGCTTGGTGCCCGGAAGGGCCAAAGAGGAAGACGCTGACACGTATGTTCAAGGTGATGCCGGATGCTGACACCGTGGAAGCTGCTTTGGCGCGCATCCCTGAAGAGTTCCAGGAGCACTTTCGCAAGCAACTGGAGCGGCAAAAATGGTGCGGCGGCCTCGCCGACGAGGCTTGCATTCTCGCATTGCGTCCAAAGGGTGGTCGTGCGCGAGTCGAGCGAAGGGACGGTCGCTGCTTATTCTGTGATCCTGATTCCCTCAGTGTCAAATGCGCCACGGAGCAGGGGCGGAAGGTCGTCGCCAAGAAACTGGCAGAGATGGCAGAAGCCAGCCGCAGACGAGCCATGGAGGATCGGATTCCAGCAGAATTGAGAGACGCTGTGAATGCATTGCTGAGAGGAAGCGTCGCCTGTCCGCGCCAGGTGGCCCGCGGCCTCGCCAGCGCGGTGACGGAGGAGGAACTGGACCAGCGGTGGAAGGCAGCCCTTGCAAAGAGTTCAACATCCCGAGCGCCTGCAAACGCAGCAGACAAGGCTGCTCACCGCGCGAAAGTGCTGGCCGATCGCGCCACGGCGCGGCGTCATGCCGGCCGCAAGAAGGTCCGCGCCAAGCGCGGTGAGAGCGTCGACAACGAGACAGGCCTGCCTCGCGCAAAGAGGTCTGCGCGGGCTGCGGCGCTGGAGCGGTGGTGCCTCTACTACTCCTGGGCGCAGTGCCAGCAGTGCGGCAAGATGCAGCCGCGGCAGCTGACGCAGCACACGCTCTTCAAGGACCAGAAGGTCACCATCCCTGCACGCCAGTGCGCTCGGTGCAGCGCGACGCACAAACCTCCTGCCATGATGACCCTGGAGGACGTCCCAGCCGAGCTTCGCGGCCTCTCGGCAGCGGCGGCAGCGGCGCTCAGCCCCTTGGAGGTGGACGTGGGCCCGGAGAAGCGGGCCAAGTACCGTACTGGGTATCGGGTGCATGCTACCATGATGAGGTTTCGCTGGTCGGCACGGACCGTGACAGAGCGGATCAGGGAGCTCTCCGACAAGGCAGAAGGCCGCCTACAAGTACCTCCGCATGAGTGAGCCCGCTGTTTACCGAGTCTTCGATGCCGAGCACCGGGAATTTGTGCAGGCGCACCCGGACGCAGACGAGACGCTTCGCCGGCGGCGCTTGCAATTCATCGAGCGCGAAGGCGTGGAGTGCGCCATCTGGCCGTGCCTCTTCTGGCGCACGGACTTGACTTTCTCAGATGAACGCGCGTCCGACCCTCGGCGGCAGCCGAGGGAAACCCTGGAAGAGGCCATGTTTCCGAGAAGAAATGCACAGGAGCCGGAGGCCGTGTCCGACGAGGACGAGGACGAAGCCAAGGAAGAAGAGGATGATCTGGTGCGGCACAGCGTCAAGAGGCTTTTTGCTTGCCTCTCCCTGGGCTTGCTGCTAGGCTTCACTGAGCATTTTGAAATCCTCCAGTACGTTTACGATCTACACCTCTGGACAGATTTGGGCTCCAAGCGCAACCTGGGCTACAGCGTGCCAACGCGCCTCATGATGGCGGGCGCATCCTGGAGCCCGGTGTACTGGCGGCGGGTGCAGCTGGGACTCGTGGATCTGGTGCGGCAGGTCGGATTCCCGCAATTCTTCTGGACGCTGTCGCCGTCCGAGTGGACCATGCCCTATCACATCTACGTTCGCGACCGCATGGAGAAGTTACTCAAGGAGCGGTTGCACCTCCCCGTAGAAGAAACTCTCCATATCGCGCACGTGCTGACACAAACAGCGAAAGGCTTCCTCATGGGCGCCACCAGCGGCAAAGTGGCTTGGAAGGATAATGTGTTTCATGTGCAAGACCCTCGTGGTCTGGGTCGCAGGTTGCACGCGTTCCTGCGGTTGGAGTTCCAGGGTGGAACCAGGAAGCTGCCGTCGCAGGACTACCATGGGTCCGGGCGCGCGCACTTGCACATGATTGTCTTCGGCGCAGAGGACCTCATTCGCAACCTTCCCATCGACGCGACCGTCAGCGCCAGCCTGCCGAACTCTGAAGAAGACGTGGACATGCACGGCTACGTGCTTGGTTCGCAGATCGACCACGAGGGCGACAGCGGCCGCGAGATCTGGGAGGCGCCCACCTGCTTCGATGAGGAAGAGCGGTTCTGGCGACTGGCCCACTCGGAGGAGGACCACGACCGCGGGCTCCGCGCCTACGTCAAGGATGTCTTGGACGCTCTGAAATGCCACCAAGATTTCTTGATCGGCGACGACAAGGCCGGCATGCTGCGCCGGTACATCACGAAGTACCTCTCAAAATTTTCGGACAGCGCGTCGCAAGACTGGCTCAACGACGACGCCGATGCCACGAGCATTGCCACCACGTTCTCATGCGGTATCATCCGTTGGAGCCGGAGATGACCCTGCAGCTGTTCGGGCAAAAGTTTCGGCAGTGGCACATGACGACCGTGTCCGGCGGCAAGCGCGACTTCGTGGTCCCTGTCCCCGACATAGAGGTGCCTCCCACGGAGGTCGTGCTGTACGAAGCCGCGACGTGGGCACGCGGAAAGATTTCGCTGCTCGACTTCTTGCGCAAGACCACCGGCGACGG